GGATAAATTACACTTATAGACCTCAAAATATATCTGTATTGAAGGATTAGGTGATTTGTCTACAAATGAATAATAGTCAATAACACATTTCATGAAGAAAAATTTTGTTACCTTCTTGTTTCTTTTTTTCAAAATCAAAATTACATAATTCAAGTTTTGAAATTAAAAAAATGCCAAGAAGGCCCTTTAATGTAGAAGACAACGACAAGATTGACCTTTAGAAGTCCCTATTTTATATAACGTCGGGTCGGATTTATACTCTAAAAACTTGAGTCGGGTGGAGGATATATATTTTTTGAGTCAGTTCAAATCAGATGAAAGATATATAGTTTTCGGGTCGGATCGAATTTAGGTAGAGGATACATGTTTTTGGGTTGGGTCGGATTGACCAAAAACCCAACCCTAAACCGTCCGTTGCCATCCCTAAGGATGTGTTTGAAATTTGCAAGAAATTAAAGACATTTTTCTAATTTGATTTATTGAAGTTCTTTTGTTCAAAGAGTCAATAATTTGACTTTCACCCGAACAAATCAACCAATTGGGACGAGACGACTCCAAATTCACATTATTTAAGAAGCTTCTTTATATATATAATGTTTTTCAAGGCTAGCTAGCTTTCCCTGTATGATTGATCGGTGCCGGTTCATGCACTGTACACACAAAAGTTGAAAGATTAATGCTTAAGGCAGATCCGGCGATCAAGATCGAAGAAGATGAACATAGTTCACGTTGTTAGCGATAATAAGGTGGTCGAAGAAGATGTTACGCTTCCTGGGTTTCGGTTTCATCCAACTGATGAAGAGCTTGTAGGGTTTTATCTTCGACGAAAAGTTGACAAGAAACCACTTAGAATCGAGCTGATCAAACAGGTTGACATCTACAAGTCTGATCCATGGGATCTCCCAAGTATGTTCTAACCTACTTTCTTTCATTATTTTTCAACATGTGTGTGTATATATATGTATATGTATATGTATATGGGAAAAGGGTTTTGCAGAAAATTTCCAAATAAAAGGTAGCTTTGTCTGATTTACAGTTATCATGTTTTGATTCTTTTTCATAACTTCTTAAGCTTCGTATATATTGATTGTTCGAAGTTTGAACTAAGCTCTAGTGTTGGTTTAATTGATTAAGATTAATGAACTTGTTGCAGAAAATTAAAACCAAATTTCATCTAAAAGTATACTTTTTGTATTTCATGCACTGATAGCATGAAATTAATCACTATAAGTGCATGGAACATAAATTTTTAGTTTATAGAAGCGAATTAAACGTTGATGTTTTTTGATGGAATGAAGAAGAAGCTAGCATAGCGGGAGGCGGCGGAGAGAGTGAATCATATTTCTTCTGCAAACGAGGAAGAAAGTACAGGAACAGCGTGAGACCAAACAGGGTAACCTGGTCTGGTTTCTGGAAAGCAACCGGCATCGACAAGCCTGTTTATGCAAAATCATCGTCACCGGGCCATGCCTGCATTGGTCTAAAGAAAACCTTGGTGTATTACCGTGGGGTCGCCGGCAAAGGAACCAAAACCGATTGGATGATGCACGAGTTCCGCCTTTCAACCGACAATAGTAACATCGCCGTCGCCAGCTTTTCGAATCCGAAAATAGTTACACAAGAAGCTGTAAGTCAAAATATTGTTCAAGTAGGGTTAATGCATGTTTCGTTTCATTCATACAATAAAATTATGACAATTTTATTACGTTATCGGGATTGTAGGAAGTATGGACCATATGTCGAATTTTCAGGCGAAACCTCTCAGTAAAGAAACACAGACCAGATTGGAGACAACTCGCAGCAAAAAAAGCTTCAGTTGTCACACAAATTAGCTCTCAGACATGTACTATGGAATCGAACAGCCATGGGAACTACATTAGCTTCGGTGCTCCGATGATTGAAGGCTATTGTAATGACGAGAAGCCATGGATGCATGTGAATCATATGATCAATGGAAGGAGCCAATGGCAATGGCATGATAATATTGCAGACAAAATGAGTGCAGTAGCTCAAATACCTTCATCAATGGCGTCGTCTTCGAGCTTTTCGAATTGTCCGGAAAATGATTTCTTCACTGATGCTCATTGGGATGAGCTGAAATCGGTTGTGCAGTTTGCTCTCGAGCCCTTTCCTATGTAGATAATACTATTATAGGGTTAACTAGCTTCTAATTTGATAATTATTGAATATTTATACAAACAGACATGGATTAAGCCTAGTTTCTAGCTTTTCTTCCAAAAAAGAATAGTACATCTTAAAATTGAAACCAAACAAATGCAGTAGAGATATTACTGAGTTTTTTTTTTCCAGATCTTCAAAGAACTCATAACCATTTATAAGATCATTGATATACAATACGGAAGGTATTAGTCAACAAGAAACATATAGAATCCAATGAATAAAGCATAGGAACAGTTGGAATTTGATCAAAACAGAGAAAAAATGCTTCCGAGTTAAGAGGATACGAGGATTTCCATGAACACTAGAGGTAAGATCTTTGAAGATAGCTTCCATCTGCAGCTTGGAGTAAAGGGTTGCTCCAGCATGGTCCAAAGACACAGTATCTACACTACCCAAAGCTCAACATAGTTAAAGCAAAGTACCCAACCCAGAGCATTAAACAAAAACTCGAAATTCCATTTCTATCTTCTTAAAGTTCAAATATTCCATTTCTCGCTAGGAAGCTCGACAGATTGTAAATCCTTATTGGGTGAATTCCTATAAATCTTCTCATGTTGAATTTCTAGGTCCTGGTGCTTCAGACCATTGCATGGCTCTGGTCTGACTTACTAAAGAAGTCCATACTAATAGACCGAAACCTTTCAAGTTCTTTAATTTCTGGACTCAAAACTCTAATTTCTTAAATGTGGTCCATCAGTCTTGGAATATCCCAATTCATGGTAACCCGATGCAAATTCTTTTTTCTAAGTTAAAGCGCCTGAAAATTATCCTTAGGAACCTTAACCAGTCTTGTTACAGTGACCTTACCGCCAGGGTTAACCACAAGAAAACTGAGCTTGAATTATAGCAGATCAAATCCTTAAGAGGTGAGGATGTCATTGATAAGGTAATAAATCTGCAAACTGAGCTAAAGAACCTTGAAGATGCCGAGTATATGCTTGTTAGACAAAAAGCCAAAGTTTTATGGCTTAAGGAGGGGATAAGTGCACTAAAATTTTCCACAATGTTGTAGCCCTCAAACACAAAAGAGATACCATTCGAATTCTGATTGACGACCAAGGCAATAGGCTGGAATCTTTTGACTCCATGTCTACCGAGGTGACCAATTATTTCACAAATCTACTTGGTACCAGTGATCTAGAGGTGAAATCAACCGATTCAAACATGTTAAAAGATATTCTCAAAGTCTCTTTGTCTGCAGATAAAATTGATGATCTTGTTAAGGAAATCTCCAACGATGAAATCAAGGAAGATTTCTTTCGCTAAGATAATGACAAAGCTCCTAGTCCTGATGGTTATACTCCTTTGTTTTTCAAAAAGGCCTAGTCTATCATTAGTAATGACGTTTATGCCGCTATAAAACAATTTTTTCAAGATTCTTCTCTCCTTCCAGCTTTCAATGCAACAAATATTGCTCTTGTGCCTAAAATCCCTAACCCAAGTACTATTAAGGACTTCAGACCAATTTCTTGTTGCACTGTTTTCTATAAAGCCATATATAAGATTCTGGTTAATAGACTAACTAGCATCCTTCCGGAGTTAATTACCCTCAACCAAACAGCTTTTGTTAAAGGCAGGAGTATTGTTGACAATACCCTTCTAGCTCAAGAATTGGTTAGAGGTTATAGTAGGAAGCACATTTCCCTTAGATGTTCCCTGAAAATAGATCATAAAGCCTTTGATTCCCTAAATTGGGGATTCATCTCTTCCATTTTAAAAGCCATTGGTCTTCCAAGCACCTTTATAAACTGGATTGAATTATGCTACTCTTCTGCTAGATATTTTGTTTCTTTCAATGGAAGCTTAATTGACTACTTCAAGGGTGGTAAAGGTATTAGACAAGGAGACCCACTTTCTCCTCTTTTATTTGTCCTCTCTATGAATGTCCTCTCTAACCTCTTAAATCTAGCAGCTGCTAAAAATATCTTCGGTTATCACCCTAAATGTAAAATAATTGGTCTTACTCATCTTTCCTTTGCTGATGATCTACTTGTATTCTACAAAGGATCTGTTGATTCTGTTCTTGGGGTAACTAGTGTTTTAGACTTATTTTATGAAATGTCTGGCTTTAGACTAACGCCTCTAAATGTGAATTATTTACTGCTGATATGACCTTATCCACTCTTGAGGAAATAAATCTGCTCACTAGGTTTAAAATTGGATCCCTTTCTGTGAGATACCTCGGCATTCATTTAATCACAAGGAAAATATCTGATAAGGACTGCGTGGTCCTCATTGAAAGCATTAAAGCTCGACTGCATCATTGGTCTACTAAATCTCTTAGCTATGCAGGTAGATTAGAATTAATCAGAGCAGTCATATTTAGCATCAGCAATTACTGGTGTAGACAGTTATTTCTGCCTTACTCTGTCCTTAAGAGGGTTGAACAATTATGCTCCCGCTTTTTCTGGAAAGAAGCCGACAAAACGGCTTCTGGAGCTCGAGTAGGATGGCAAGATATTTGCTCTCTGAAATCTGAGACAGGGCTTGGTATTAAAGATCTAAAGACTTGGAACAAAGTTTGTATGCTACTTCTTATCAAAAAAATTCTTGCTGGTGAAGGCTCTCTTTGGGTGGCCTGGATTAATAGCTACGTTCTTAAAGATAAAGATTTCTGGAATGCATAAATTAGTCCTTCAACTAGTTGGAGCTTAAGGAGAATCTTCAAATTTAGGCCTGAGGCTATCTCTATTTTGTCTGCTGGTACATTAACAGTAAGGAGTATTTGGGATGCTATTCGGATAAAGAAACCCCTTGTACTTTGGTAGAAAATTATCTGGTTTCCTCTCCATATTCCAAAACATAGTTTGATTTCATGGATGGCTTTACTTGATCGACTTCCTACTAAGGATAGACTTCTTCGTATGGGGCTTATCAATGAAAGCCAATGCATGTTTTGTGATGATCCTTTGGAAACTAGGGATCACTTATTCCTTCATTGTCCTATTGCTGATTACTTGTGGAATTCAATATTCTCCCTTTCCGGTCTTCATTTTATAACTCGTTCTTGGGAATCTTTTTTGGCGTGGGCTTGCTATACTTGGAAAGGTAAATCTTTGCTTAGTGTCATTCTGAAGATTGCTCTTAATGCTCTGATTTACATTCTTTGGGAAGAAAGAAACAAGAAACTATTTCAAGGTCGATCCAGAAATGCTCAAGAACTGTTTCGAATCATCAAAGACATTGTTGGCTCTCAACTTAGGGGTAGAAACTTAAATAGCATTGATATTGTTAATGCTAATCTTTGTAAGCATTGGGACATTGGTTGATTTTGATTCATATTCTATGTAATTTGTCCTCTTGTATAACAGATCTCTGATTTATCAGGTTCTGCTATTGGGTAATAAAAATCTATTTATCCAAAAAAAAAGTTCAAATATTTCTTACGTGGCAACTATAAAATGAATATAAAAAATTAAAAAGGGGAAATTCAAGGAAGAGAAAAGCTACCATCTAATCGCTTGAACTCGGTGGCACGAATTTGGTCGATGGATTTAGAGGCGTTGGGGTAGCCGTAATAGTCAACGAATTGCTTGAGGAACTCTTCCTTCTCGTCCATTTGCAGAGAATATTATGGGGGAAATATGGTGATGAAAACAATAATGTTGACCCGCAAATGGATTGAATTAGGAGAGGCAGTCTATCCTCCAGCTTCTTCCTATTGGAGGAGTTCGGAAGATTTTGATTCGTAAATGTAGTTAAGAGTTCAGATACGTTGTCTCTAATTCTTTTTGTTTTAAATTATAAATTGCATCCTTCAACTTTTCTCTTACTTTTATTTTAGTCATTAAAATTGATTTATTTTTAGTTCCGTCCTTTGCTGGTATCTTCGTTTTAAATATTTTTGATGTATTTTTTCTTCGAATAAATTAAGGTCAAATAGCTTATTTTTTAAACAAACAATCATGACGTCAAAGAAGTGACTTCCTTAAGCTTTTTACATAGAGAAATAACATCAACAAGTTTGGTATTATAAAGCCGATTGAAGGACAGTTTATTGGTAAATACCGAATCACGAAGTTGATGCAATCAAGCGGCGTTAATGGCGGCAAAATCAAGCGATTTCTTGCCATCGTGAGCGTTTCCGAAGAAATTTTTCATATAATCAGCCAGCACAAACTCTCTATAAAGAGCATGACCATCTTTTTCGACCACTTGAGGCAAAGGTGCAATCTTTGCCGTTGCGCTTGGCATTGTAAATATAGGTATCGACACCCTTGATTTTGTGCTCGTGGTACGGACTCTATGCTCTGCACTTTTGTATTTCCCATTGCTTAGTATCTGCAGATATAACACAAATTGGAATGATTAAATTAACTTTTGAGTTCGGGTTTGGGTTTGGGTTCGTGTTAGTCTCTAAATTTATTTCATTTATGTACCTGTATCATGTCACCGACATTGATGACCAGTGCACCTTGAACAGGAGGGATCTCTACCCATTCTCCCTTCTTTCCGAACTCAGAGTCTTCTTCGATTTTTATGTATAAACCGCCGATTCCATCTTGTAATAATACGGTTAGAGTTCCCATATCGGAGTGACGTCCTACTCCGACGGTGAGGTCAGGATTAGGGCACGTGGGATAGAAATTCATGTTAACCATCTTCTTGTCTAGGAGTACATCGATGATCAAGTCATCTGATTTTACGCCTAAATTTTCCAACAAAACTTGAAGCAATTTTCTCACCATGCTCATTGATGTCCTCAAGTATTCAAGTGAGACGTCCTTGATCTCTGCAGGCCAAAGCTGAAGAGCTTCGTCATCGTTAGTGTATTGCATGCTGATATAATCTTTCCATTCCAAAGCCTTCTCTTTCTGCGGCACGAAGCTCGTCCCGTACTTCACCAACGGAGTCGGACTAACTTCGGCACGGTAAACCGCCTTCTTTTCCGGCGACAGGCCGAAGAAATCATGTGCGGTGTCCTTAAGGGACTCGAGTAGTTCCACCGGCACTCCATGGTTGACGACTTGGAAGAATCCAAGACTCTCAGCAGCTCTAACAATTTGTTCTGCCACTTGGTCGTGCTCGGGCCCATCTAGCTTCGACAAATCAATCGGCGGCTGCCCGTGTTTACGAGCGGCGTCCTTGTCGATCCTCTCTTTCGGTGGTTGCAAGTATGCCTGTGGCACCGTCGACAAACCGGCGTCCACCATCCCTTTGACACCGTTGCCGTCTCGAACGACGAAGTTGAAAAGGTTGGCATCGTCTAAACTTGGAGCCATTCACGAGTGTTAATGAATTGGAGATCGAAGAAAAGGGTTTGTTTGATGAAAATCTGATAGTTTGGTGAGAAAAAAGAGAGGGAAAGATCTCGATATATAGTGGAGAAATGGTTGAAACTTTCTTTACGAGCTTCATAATTGAAATTTATAGAATAGTGACGGTATTGTGGAAATTCTTAATCTTGAATTTTGAACAAGACAAGGATCAGGGCGTCTACAATCAAAGAAGTAGGCCAAGTTCTTGCCTTTTGATCTCTAACGCAAACATCACCAAAGATTGAAGGATCAGGAAATTATTATTATAGGGCAAATTACCGATTAGAAATTACTCTCTTTCCTATTCCATTTATTATATTTTAAATATTTTAAATTTTTCACCAAACTTAATAGGTTAGGCTTTTTTTTGTCACTCTATTAAGCTCAATGAAAAATTAAAAACATTTAAAATATAATAAATAAAATAAAATATAATAAAATTCAATTACCAAATTTACAATTTATCTTATTATTATAAAATTAAGATGATGAAAGAAAGAAAAAGGTCAAATGGTTGTCTCAATCTTTGTACTCTTCCGAATTTTAAAATATCCACTGTCAAATTCAAATATACGTACTGAATTTCAATATTTAATTCATGCTTTTGGACAAGAGACAAATTAGAAATTTTTGAAAAGTTAAAAGTAAATTATTACTTTTGTTGAGGCTAAAATATAATATTTTATTAAATTTTATTAAATCATTTTTTTCATTTTAAGATAATTAAAATTTTATTTTTATTGTATATTCATTTATATCTTAATAAATTTGGGTGCCAACCTCCAACTTGTATATGCTTCGAATATAAAAATAATGAATTGGGAGAAAATGAAATGCGCGGTCAGTTCTCAAAGTCTGCTTTTGAACAAAAACGTAATATCCACTTGCAAGGGCATCTTGGTCAACATAATGCACGCTTTATTAGGCTCGCGTATTGAAAAACTATATAGTAATTAGATTTAAATGCGATTAATGTAATATATAATTATGGTTTATTTAAATAATAATCATAATCTGTGGGTTTTTATCTGACATAATTAAATTTTTTAACTATACTCTCTAATTCTTAAAACATGGGTGGAGATTGGTGTAATTATACACATCATTGTTAATATATCAGCGGATATAGTTGAAAAATTCATCCCTTCTCATCAAAAAATGATCTTTATAATAGGATGATAAAAATATAGATTTAATTGAAAAATAATATATAGATGAATCTTATTGCAATTATCCATAAATATGTAAGTTAAAATTACAATTTTTTTTGGGTCAAGTTAGGTCGGGTCAAATATTTTCACTTTAGACCCAAATTCGACTCGATCTGAATACAGTCTCTAAAAAACCCTTACCAACCTAATTTGAATCTGACTCTTTTTAAAGAATATAACTCGATAGAATCTGATCAGATCGAAACCTATCGACTTCAGGTCTCGTCTCATGCCTTGGTTCAATCATAACAAATTTTAAACTTGGTTCAATCATAACAAATTATAATCAATGTAGTTGATTTAAGTAATAAACAATTTGATATCGCTTAAGTAGATCTCGAGTTGAGCTTTGTGTATATAAAAAAAATTTATTGGAGACTCATGCACCAAAGTTAGATGTACGACGTATGTTGATCCAGATTAATTAGTACGAAAGTCTGAAATCGATACAACAACAACAAAAAAATATTAATTGTCATTTTGATTTTTTATTATAAATAAATAAATAAATAAAAATTTTAACTTTTACATTAAAACTGTACTTTTATTTTGGCCATGACGTTGAATTATTGAATTCCTGATCTAAAGTTAAATCAATAGAAGAAAAGTAATCGAAGGATCAAAAGTCCATTGTGGAGGGTAAAAAGTTTCCACAAACAATGAAATTATAATTCAAATCTTGAAACAATTGAAAGATGGACGAAACTTTCACACTTTTGGAAATTCATTCAAAGAAACTGGAGATAATGCATTGTGTTTATTCAGATTAATAAAAAAAACATATATGGGGCTTAATAGCTTAATAGCACTTGATTTAATATTAACATGTGTAATCACCATTTTTGTTTTTACCTTAGCATTCCAACGGCATCTACTCCACGCCGACAACAACTCATGGTTGCCCTTTGTCCACATTTCAGCAGCTTCCAACAACGACAACTGGTTCCCCGCTCCACACAATAACTGCCAGCAGCCCAGCTCCACGCCGACAGCAACCCATGGTTGTCTTAGAATTTTTTTGTTAAATAAAAATCATATTGCTGAATTTGGAATAATAGGATCGTAATTTAAATTAATATTCAAATTTTTAGATTTTTATTATTAGATACAATTTATAATCGATGGATATCAATATTGGGAGTTGTATGGTGTTAATCATTCTCCAAGCGTAATCAACCCCGAACCTTTTTATTACTATTTTTTTTATTAAGCATAGACTAGTTCTTTTAAATGATGTTTTCTTAAAAATTCTTTCAAAAGGTGATTTTTAGGTATTCGACTTATCTAACCTAAAAGACCGATGGCGATTCAATTCTTTTCATTAAAAACTATTTATTTACTTGTTTTTCTCCAAGTCGTACCAGGAAAAAATCGATTACGACAACCTGATATCAATAGTACAACTAAGTTTTGGAAAGAGGTGGAGGATGTGGATTAAGCTATGCATCTCACCTCCTTTGATAGCGATCTTAGTAAACGGGGCTCAGCCTGATAGTTTCAAGATTAGAAGGGGCTTGTGCCAAGGTTGTCCATTATCTCCGGTACTCTTAAACTAGGTAGGGGAATCTCTGAGTGGTTTAATCAACAAAGCGGCCGCTGAGATGATTGTCAAAGGTGTGCAGGTGGGTACTAATGGACCATCCATTACGCGCATACAATTGGCAGATGGTTTGATTGTCTTCTCTGACGCCATCTTTGAAATGGTAAGAAATGTGAAAAGAATTTTGAGATCATTCGAGATTGTAGCGGGTCTCAAAGCTCAATTTGAGGAAAACAAAAATGGACGGCATCAATATCGAATCAAAGAATATTAAAGAATGGGCAGAGCCATTCATTGGGTGAGTTGGAGCAAAATGTGTAAACCGAGAGTCCTTGGTGGGTTGGGTCTTATTGCACAAAAACGAAGAATCGGGCATTGCTAAATAGATGGACTTAGCGTTTTAGCAGTGAAGAGTGAAGACGACACTTCGTGGAAAAAGGAAATAGTGGCGAAGTATGGGTTGGATAGTCAGGCACTATTCCCAAAACCGGTCAAAAATCGCAAACAATCTTGGTTATGGTAAAACATAATGAAAGTACCCGCCTTATCCGAAGAGTCGTTCCTAGCAAATTGTAGATGCGTGGTCGGAGATGGTAGTAAAATCGACTTTTGGGAAGATGTTTGGACAGAGATCGCTTCTCTCAGAGTGGCATTTCCTAGAATATTCATCACCGCTTCTCAAAAATATGAAAAAGTATGCGATTTTGGCCATCGTGTTAATGGGAGGTGGGAGGTGGGAGTGGAACATGGAAATGAGAAGACCCCCTGTTTGAGTGGGAAGTTAGAGTGTGGAATGATTTTATAAATACCCTCAATAGAACATCATGGAATGCGGAAGGTGTTGACCTCCAGAAATGGGAAAGAACAGCAGATGGAAGATATTCGGCAAAAGAATACTGCAGGTGGGTTAATTGTGCAGAAGAACACGTGGAAAGCTGTGCGGGCCAACTTTATCCCTCCTAAAGTCGCTGCCTTTGAAGAATTAGTTGGCTGGTTGCAGGAGAATGGTTTGAAGTTCACAGCTTGCTTGATAGGGAGCTACTATAGGGTGCATTACATGGTGTAGGCTCTTTCCAATGTAATTTGACATAACTAACATTAATTTTCTTTAATATTTTCTCTTTGACATCGTTTGATCAATATTTCTTAAAGTAACACCCTTTCAGTTGAAGTGACAAAAGACGCATCCCCGGGCCAATAAAGAAAACGAAAGGGAAAGGCGCGTGAAATCAACAACGTCGGTCATGTGATGAAGATGACTAATCACCATTAGTTTTTTCAAACTAACCATTCAACACACTCCAATTATATTATTTTCAATACACTCATTCATACGCGGTATCAAAATCATATATATATTTTTCTCTAACAGAAAAATACAAATCAAAATATAAATATTTCCACGAATCAGTTTAATTTAGTGATTAAAACAATCATTATTTATTCTAAAAGTTATGAGTTTGAACACCGCAATTACAAAGGTGATTGGGCGTTTATTATCAAATGATTAAGAGTATATATATATATTTCTTTTTTTAAGATCTAATATTTTTTTCAATAATTAAAGGGAGGGTTGTTCTCTTCTTTCTAGAGATCTTGAGTTCGAGTAAATGTGTCTGTAGGGTATGATTGTGTTATTAATAATTAAGAAAAATTATAAACAGATACAATATTATAATCGCCTTAAACTAAATAAAAATGATAAAAGAAAAATTATAACTTAAGGCTAATTTAGAAATTAGGGTTTTCTGTTGGGGTTTTATAAGTAATTTTATTCTAAGGTTATAGAATGAGAAGTATTACCGGTGAATAGTGTACTTTAGACATCAACAAAAACTGGAATCTTAAAAAGAATATTGGCATGGCCCCGGCACACGGCATACATACACACACAAATCTGAATAAATAAATAAAGTGAATTTTTTTACATAAATATCATCCTAACAGAATTTAATTACATATAAGGCATCATTTTAATATTATTTACAAAATTAACACTTAATTTTTTACACGTTTCGTAAAACGCATCCCCAGAGATGCGCCTTACCCACGTAACATCCGACTCATTTAAAACCCAGATAAAACGCGTCCCCACAGATGTATCTTTTATCAGATCAACAGAAAAAATACTATTTCAAAAAATATTGATCAAACGATATAAAAACAATATTAGAGAAAATTAATATCAATTATGTCAAATAACCTCTTTCCAAAACAGATGCAAAGCTTAATAGCACTTGAATTAATATAAATTAATATTGAGAACAGGTCAATATTCAAATGCATGAACTTCGAAAATCCAAATTTTGTTTTTTCCCTTCACGTGGACTGACAAAAATCGAAAGTCAGTCGTAACCATTCAAGGTCAAAGTCTAAGATTTGTCAATTCAAAGTACAACATGGCTGCCAAAATAATCACCATTTGTTTATGTTTTTTTCTTCTTTTTATTAGTATAAAAATAATTAAATATCTCCATAAACATCAAAATCAAATTTAAAATCTCTAAAAATAATAATTATCATTTCAATTATTAAAATCGTTTGATTCTTTTAACAATTATTTATTTCTCCTTTATTTTATTAGGACGATTTAAGATGTCCGATTTTGATAATATATTTACTAGATTCACCCGTCCCCCGTGTACATAAATAAATACTATATCTTTTTATGTATTTTTTATTGTAAAAAATAAATACTATATATTAATATAATTATTAATTTAGTTGTAATATTTATATTTTTACTTTAACCTTAATTTTTTAAGTTAATTTGATTATTTATTACTTTTAATAATAAAATATTTTTTAACGATATTAACATAATAATTTACACAATAATTCATTTATACATCATATTTACATGATATTCTTTATTTCATATAACACACACTAAATGAATTTTTCAAATTTTTGAAAGAAAAACTTGAAAATATTACCAAAAAAGTAAAAAAAAAAAAGGTATACATGATATTATGTTTTTTTTTAGCATAATATTGACCCAATTAATTGAATTCAACAATTCGATTATGGTTTTGCAAAACTCGTAAATTCTTTAATATTTTGAAATAATTAACAAATATTATATATTTAAAATTATGAGGGGTTGAATTGAAATATATTGATACAATAAAATTGTGAATCACAATTACATTACAACGTTATATATATATATAAACTATAGAAAGACAGTAAAGCATCTTTTAATATATTGCGACAGGACAGGAGCATTTCTCTTGTCCAAAAATGAATAGGTGAAAGAATAAAGTAGCAATTCTTTGTGTGGGTTGTGGGCTTACGAATATTGTTGTTGACACTCGAGATTTTGTGCGTGTAGTTCGCACTCTATGCTCTGCACTTTTGTTCCAACGTTGATGACAATGGCACCGGGAATAGGGGGAATCTCTATCCACTCTCCCTTCTTTTCCATGTCAACGTCTTCAGGAACTCTGACATACAAACCACCGATCCCATCTTGTAATAAGATTGTAAGAGTACTCATATCGGAATGACGTCCCACACCGACTGTGAGTTCAGGGTTGGGACATGTTGGATAGAAGTTCATGTTAACCATCTTCTTTCCTATGAATGCATCCATCTTCGAGTCGTCTAGTTCTACTCCCAGATTTCCCATCAAAGCTTCGAGCAATTTCCTCACCATGTCATGTGAGGTCTTCAAAGCTTTCTATTAATTAGGTTTCAAATGTCAAGGAAGAAAGAAGTGAAAATACAGTTCATAGATATATTTCAGTACCTGCACTCTACAGGCCATTGTTGCAGAGCTTCAGCATCATTGGTGTAAGCCATGCTAATGTAGTCTTTCCATTCCAAAGCTTTCTCCTTCTCAGGTACAAAACTCGTCCCATACTTCACCAATGGGGATGGACTCACTTCTTTACGACACACAACCTTCCTTTCTGCAGGCAAGCCGAAGAAGTTATGTGCCGTCTGCTTAAGGGAGTCGAGTAATTCTATAGGAACACCATGGTTGATAACTTGGAAGAACCCAAAGAGTCTCAGCAGCTCTAACAATTTGTTTCACCACTTCATCATGGCAAGGACCATCAAGCCTGGACAAATCAATGGGTGGAATCTCACATTTGGTGGCATTGTTCTTATTAATTTGCTCGGTACAACACACTATTTTTCTTGAAAGAACGGTACATCACACTCTTTTAAATGAATTGATACTCATGTTTCAAGGACTCAAATTTATGAACTGATATACAATCTCCATCTTATTTCAACACATACATACTTCATATGAGAATTAGGCTCAGATTCTTGAAATTGATCTCAGAATTTTGCCTAAAAATATCAGCTTTCACTTTTAACCCCACTGTCAGTTTCCTTAAATCAAACAATCTGAAGAAGCTTAGACAAATTTCATGCATTTAACATTAAGAGTATCGATTTCAATTACAATAGTAACAAAAAAAAACTCATACGGCAAGTTGAATATCAGCCACTTCAAGCTGAGCAGCAATCTCCTCCAATTGCTTCTTAACACTCATATCAATCAATTTCGACCCTGAACTCCCATACCTGATAGTAAACCCAGCAACCAAGCTTGGGTCAATCTTAGTTTTAATCCTGACATTCTTAGCACCAGTCAGCTTCTGCACCTGCTTAGCAATCTGAGCCAAATGCTGAGACTCCAATGGCACAACCGAACTCACCACGGCCAATTCAGTATCCGTCAGCTTATTGTAAACCATCTCGAACTCCTTGGCAATTTCTTTGATAAGGTCAATCCTCTTGGCGTCAACCAGGATGTTCAAGAAGTTGGCCGTGTAAGGCTGAAGCTCCGATGATTTAACGATTTCGTCCAGGACCTGACGTTTCTTGAGGACGTCCACGGTGGGGTTAACGAAAAAGTCGAGGACTTGAGTGTCGGAGAATACTTTCTCGACTTTTTCGACGTCGGAGGAGGTGGTGTCGAGGCTGTTGTTTGACTTGGCTGCGTCGGCTAAAGCAGTAGCGTAGCTGGAAGCCGCTGTGGCCGACATTCTGGCACCGCCGTTGAGCGGGCGAGAGGCGGTGAGTCTGAGGGAAGGGAAAGTGGCTGAGAAGGAGAGGTTGAGGGAAGGAAGAGCTCTGGTGAGCTGGGAAGAAGGGAGGAGCTTCGATTGAATGGCGATTGAAGTTTGCTGAAGGGAAGCCATTGATGAAAGATTTAAACTTTGGGATGAAAGATTGGAACTTTGAGAAGATGAGAAAAATAGAGGAAGAAAAAAGGGGGGATTTTGATTTGTGTAAAACAAAAGGGGGTTATCTTGAATTGGAAGAGGAGGGCCACTTATTGGATTGTGGAAGATAAAATCAAATGGTGTCTCCCACACGCATTTTAGTAGCCTATCAAGTCTTGACAAAAATAATATTTTGTTAACTGATAAAATTTAAATGATAAATTATGCTTTTAGTATCTAAACTATTAATTTTAATCTGTTTTATTATCTAATTTTTTTTAAATTATATCTAAAATTTAGTTTTTATTTCATTTTAATACTCATATTTAAAATTTAACATTAAATTTTGAAAAAAAATTAAAAGTTTAGGTATTAAACAGATCAAAATTGAAATAACTACTAAACACGTTAAATTTTAAACAATGAGTATTAAACAGAAATAAAAACTAAACATTAGGTATGATTTTTAAAAAAATAAAAGTTTAGATATTAAAATAAAACCAAACTGATAGTTTATATACTGAATGCGTAGTTTACCTAATATTCAATAACACTAGATAGAAATAAATCTTGATTTCAACCCTAAAAATACCGATATGAAAATTAAATTAATAATTGAAAGACGTGGTTGTTCAGTTTCCAATTGAGTTATGTATATAATGTATATTAAAAAATTCTAAAAAAATATCAATTGATTTATTGAATTTTTATGTTAGATTTTTTAAACAATATTAAAGTTTTAATTTTAATATTTTAAATAGGATACTAAATTAAAAAATAATCTTATAATAAAATTTTACAATACTCGACTCCATGACATAAAAACATTTTTTTTATCAATCCAGGGTAAGTATAAGATAGTATTTATTCAAAGATAACTCTCAACCATTTAACATTAAATGCTCACACCCTGATATTTATGTTGCTTAAATCCGAGACCTCAATGAATAACACCAATTTCTTTATCACCGGTATCGCTTAAATCGTGCGCATGACATAAAGTATTAAATTAACAATTTTATGTTAAGTACGATATTAATATTTCAATAAAAAATACGATATCAATATATTTGAATAAGGTCCATTCTGAAAGATAAGAAAACTCGTGCTATTTTTTAAAATAGTCTCTAAAATATTTTATAATAAGAATTTTTTTTTTGAAATATCAAAATTTATCGGTTTCTTAGAAAATAAAAATCTTCAAACATATAAAATTAATTTTTCTTTCATGCATGTGAAAAATAATTGTTTTTTAATTAACGGGTATTTTTTAAAAGTACGAGAACCTTAAATTTAAAGGTCATATGATGTGTTGCATATTACATACGTTCAAAATTATTAATAATATTATTAATATTAATTAAACTGAAAGACAATCAATTATTCTTTAATTATATTTTTTTTATCTATTTTTACTTTTTAAACCCTTTTTTAACTAATTAGAGCAAGTTGAAGGCCCAGTACAGGACAACTGTGAGCCATAATATTGGGCTTCCTCCGTCGCACTCAATTTTGGTCTTACATTTCATAGAGAATCTGCTAAGCCTCCCAAAAGCATGAAATAGATTCTATAATTATTTAATTAATATTTTGGGCTTATGTTTCATAGATTATACCAAGGCCACAGATGGACCGAGGGGCGGGTGGGGGCGGTCGGTCCCCTGAAAATTTTAAACTACCTTATGTTTTAGATTTTTTCTATGTGTTTTATATTGAAAATTTGTTTTTACCCTTGAAATTTTATAAGTTCAAGTTCACCCTCTTGAAATTTTAGAAGTTCAAATTCTTCTCCTCTAACATAAAATTCTACGTACGTTCTCTGACCAAGTCTACTAAATTTTGAGATTAGGTTTAATAGATTCTATCAAGCGATCTCAGTAAAGATTTGTTGTTATCTCTTGAGGTTTTGAGTTCGAGCACCACGTATGCAGGGGTATGAAAGTTCATTGTTACATGATTGAGAGTCTTTGAAGAGAATACTAACATAATAATTGATTTTAACGTATACACCGTACAACTCTTGCCAAAGATGAAGCATCATTAATGCTGTAGTTATCATAATCGAATTGGACAACACGATAGAGCGTGCAAAGCGTGAGATGAATGAGCTACGTTTGCAGCCAACCAATGGTTTAAATAATAGTAACAAATTTTGCATCAAATTTGGTCAACGTATGATTTACTGCAACATGCATGGAAAGTAAGGTCCGTGCTGTGCATTCAAAGGGCGGCAATGGTGAAAACAACTTTAAATAACCAAAAATAGAGTACGAAAACAACGTTTAGATGGAGGAGTTCCAAGACTTGGACACCCACAACTGGCTTGGGTCCCCTCCCAGATGACGTGTTGATGCAGTCACAGTTTTCAACCACAGTATTTCGGATCCACTGCTCACCGGTCATCGAACCTTTGGATCGTAGCCAAATTGCCCAGACTCAAAACCGTTCGGTCCTTGCAGTCATCTCTTGCAATAAAGTTCATTCCTGTACATGACAGTACATGCCCCTTGCACTTGATTTCTATGTATTAACGAAACTCTTATCATATTTGAATTAATAAATTCATATACTACTTATCATATTTGATTATGTCGGTTGTTGATAGTTCGTCCTTTCTAGTTTGAGTGGAGAATTGTGGTTGATGGTTGAACGACAATTGTTCAGTGTTTAAGCTCTCTATCTTCATAAGGAGGTAGAATATGGATGAATGAAGAAAGTTGTTTCAAATATTTCTCTTAGTCTTGGTCGATAAATTTTACAGTGATGTTTAGTGTCGATATCAAGCGTAGAATCATGATGACTATTCGTAAGTTGACAGACTTATTATCTAGTAAGAATAATCGTAAAAATTAACTAAACCAAACTTTAAAACCGTGGAAATCTCATGGCGTTGTTGGGTGACACAAGCCCTTGTCTCGAAGGAAGTATGGTCCCTTCCCTATGGCCAAAACATTCTGCAATATCTTCTGCAATTAATGGCTCAATCGTCAATATTAGATTGACAATGGACATGTCGTGTAAAGGCATTGCTTGGATGCACGAGGTAATTCCGACCACTTGGATATATCATTACCAAAACTCATATACTATTATTAATGAAAAAAAAAACATTTACAAAATTTATAAGAAAGTACGGTAACTTCTTAGTTTAAATTGAAAATTCACATCAATGGGAAAAGGCATATGCTGTAATGCACATGCAAACCGACTTTATCCTCCAATTCTTCCTATATAAATCCAATGCCTCTAGTGCTTGTGGAGTCCATGAATCAATTTCTCTTTTCTCTTATCCTTTTCTTCCCATTTTACGACCCTATACGAGCCTTCCTCTACGTGCTTATTTCCCCTACCTTCCTCCCCCACTTCCGTCGATCTTCAATCCATTAACTTCTTGGTGTTTTCACCTGTCCGATGGAAGAAACAACAATGGGAAAGTCCCGGAACCTCGAACGGTTCACGAACGAAGCCGTTCCGCCACGGTTCGTCTCCGTTTCTAAGCGTCCGTTGACGAAAATGTTGGCCACCATACCTGAAGAAGAGAACGATATCGGTGACGATGAAGTCGTTGAAGGACGACGGACACGTTCGTCACCAATGTGTGGCAAAGAGACACTTTGTCTTTCGAGGCCACTTGAAAGCTCGGTGTTTTTGCTCCTCATGCAAATGGCGAAGACAAATTTAAATCAAACAACTTGTTTTTTGAAAATGGTTGTTCGAGGGAATTGAATAATGGCTGAATTTAATGGCATGAGTAAGTAAGATTAGGTGAAGCAACGAATTTTGCTGTGTTTTTTCCAAGCAATATTGTGTTTGTTTTTGCCTTGTTTACAATGTTTTCCGTCTTTAATTTTCCTGGAAAAATTCTTGACTGCAGATGATGAGATTAATGTTGAGTTGGGTAAACTCAAGTGAGATTGAGTTGTTACCGGCAATAAAGAATTGAGATCTTTTACTTTTTCTCTTCATTTAAATATAAATTCTTTTGCACGTGTAAAGGGGACTCTGTAAAAGAATTATTGTTATTTGAGAATTTATATTCGAGTACCATAGATGTCAAGGGTGTGAACCTTCAATGTCGAAAGGTTGATAGAAATATTTGAACAGATGTTATTTTGTACTTATCATCCAGCTATAGAATATTATTTTGTTAAGTCCCTCAACTATTAAAATTTATAAAATAATCACCTGACTATTTATGTTTCAAACTTGTATTTTTTCATTAAAAATTTGATAATTGTCTAAGATTGACGTTAACATGATGTATGATAATCGTGTGAGATTTGAGGATAAGATTTTATCATCACATTCAACATATTAACGTTTAACTCGGAATATCATCAATCTTTTAATAAAAAATGACGAGTTTGAAACATAATAAATAGTCAGATGACTATTTTGTAACTTTTAATAATCGATGGGCTCAACAAAACAACACTCTATAATCAAAAGATCAATTTATAACTTTTAATAACCGATAGACTTAATAAAATAATATCTTATAGACAAGGACCATTTATATTCTGCACCCTATATTTTTTTTATCGTAAAAAATAATTGGAAATCGTTTGATCATAATGCAGTATCCGATATTATTGGACCACTTTAGTCGGTTATCTCAATCAATTCACTTTACAAGGCACTTGGACTGGGTATGATACATTATAAATATATTAACAAATACATATAGATATGTATGAGGGGCGGATGTACGACAACTTTAATATATGAGGAAAAACTCTTTACCAAAAATATTAATATTTTTTTAATATTTTTGATTAAACGTTACCTAAAACATTATTTTTTTTATTAAAAATGTTAATTTTACTACCTAATTCCTAATAGAAAAAGTAACATTTTAAGTAGTGTCCAGTATTAACATTTCCGGTAGAAAACAATAATATTTTAAATAACATTTTATTAAAAATGTTAAAAAAACATTAACATTTCCGATAAAATCTTTCCTTAACAATATATTAAAGTTGTCTTAGACATTTCATTTATGAGTCGACGATTAATACAGTTGCTCATTTTAAAAACTGATAACCGTTGACTAAAACTTACAAAATGACATATGCCACTGTTTCCTGCTTTGCTGTATTCTTTCGGCTTCTTTTAAGTCTCATTAT